TGCCCTCTCCAGGTGCACCACCCTCCCAGCACCTCGATGTGTTCACCAACCCCTTCATTGAGGAGTTTTTAATGGAAATTCATTAGGCAGGCATGATTTTGGTTATTGGCGAGTGAACTCAGTCTCCAGCCCCATTCCCCTCCTGAGAGATGGCGGGGGGGGCCTGAAAGTTCCAACTCTCTAATCCCACCTTGATCTCCCTGGTGACCAACTTCCATCCTGAAACTATTAGGGGCCACCAGCCACCAGGCATCTCATTAGCATACAAAAGACACTCATAGCTCTGGAGATTCCAAGGGTTTTAGGAGCTGTGTGCCAGAAACACAGGAGAAGGACTAAACATACACTGCTCAGGACTCACATCTGCTACTTGGAAGTTTGGCACATCCGAATTGGAATAAGATGTAGAAATCAGCAAGGGCAACGGGCTCATGTGACTTGGAGGGGCTCCTTTGGAGCAGCGGCTTGCGTCAGGATATCCCGTGCATGTCACATTAGTGACCGAGCCAGGTCTCCTGCCTCCCAGCTCCGACCCCTCCACACTGAACTTCTGGAGTTCCAGAAGAAGTAGAACAGGTAACACTGTGTTAGTCTACCCATTCTACAGATGAGAAAACAGAGGGCTGGAGAGCAGGTGCACCTTGCAGTACAGTCTCCTTCTTTGTACCTGTGGCATTTCTGGCCACCCCAGTGTGCCAGGGTGGGTCTGTGCCTCGTTGTTCAGAGTCAGCTCCAAGAGAGTAGAATGGGGAGTGCCTTGGAGGGGAGGGGATTATCATCAAGGCTAGAGCCCCCCTGGTCCCACAGACCCCTCAGCATCCAGGTCAGATGATGCCCCTGCCATCCAGGGCTCCCTGGCACAGAGGCATGGAGGCAGGGTGTGGACTGTGGTGCTCAAATTTGCCCCTGTGTGTGACCCTGGGCTCCTCTCTGAGTGTGCTCCATACAAGGAAAGAGTGGTATCATGGGCTTTGAGCACTGGTTTCTCACTTTAAAATGGGTGTGAAGGGGGTGCCTGGGTAGCTCAGTTGGTTAAGTGTCCGACTCTTGATCTTGGCTTAGGTAAAGATCTTACAGGTTCATGAGTTTGAGCCCTACCTAGGACTCTGCCCTGATAGCACAGAGCTTGCTTGGGATTCTCTCTTCCTTTCTCTCCGCCCCTCCTCCACTCACGCTCTCTGTCTCTCGATCTCAAAAACAAGTAAATAAACATTTAAAATGGGTGTGGGAAATTGGTGTTAAATTCATCTTACGGGCTTGTTGGCAGAATCAAATGAAATATGTACGAGCCAGTGGTAGGCACACGAGTGTGAATTTCCTTTCTCCTTCCCTCCTTTCCTCTCCCACCCCCGTCCTTCCTTTTTTCTTTCCGTCCTAACCAATACCTCTGAGTACGGTGTTAGAGGAAGAACCAGATGCTATGGGACAGGCCATGGGGGGACAGCCTCCATCAGGGGATTTGAGGATGGAAAACGGCTTCTCAAACCAGCCGTGGGAAGGGACAGTCAGGGTCTGCCCTGCCCAGAATCCCCAGGCCTCCCACTGCTAAGGAGCTCAGGGAGTCACATGGGCCCCGTGAGGGCGTCGGGTCCCTGGACTGACACAGAAAGGGGTCCTAGGGAGGCATACCTCTCATCCAGAGTCACGTGGCTGATGGGGCTGTGTGGGACAAGAGCTGACGTGACTCCCAGAGCTACCCAGCACTAGGGAGACCTGGGGATTCTGGGCAGGATGGAGCAGACTGTCACAGGCCGGCTTACATGCCCGCCAGCCTGCCCCCACATCTCGGGGCCAGCTGGAGGGATGCATCACCTATTTATCAGTGCCAGACCCTGCCCTGGGAATGTTTGGTTTCCTCCTGCCCTGTTGGGGACCTCCTACACAAGATCAGCTTAGCCCACCTCTAAGAGAAAAGGCAAATGTGAGCTGCCTTGCTCCTGAAGCTCAAGGGCAGGAAAGTCCAGCGGGGAGGTGGGGAGCGGGGTGCAGACCATGTGGACACCCACGAGCATCCACGAGTACACCCCCTGATGTGTGCTGCTCCCCGGATGCAACATACACGCTTGCTCACAGCTGCTCTCGACGGTGTCAGCATCAGTGTCAACGGATGCACAGGGTGAGGCCCAGAAGGTGACAGGGGACGAGGCAGAGGTAACAGTGGGAGCAGAAATCAGGGCTTTGGAATCAGGGTGGCTTGTTTTGAAGCCCAGCCCCGTCATTTCCAGGCTGTGTGACCTTGAGCCGGTGCTTTGACTTCTCTGTTTCCTCATCTATAAAGTGGGCACGATATCCTTTCCCTCTCAGGTTATCAGGAAGAAGGAAACAGTGACAGAAAATCCCTGCACGGTGCCTGGCACGTAGTAGGTGTCCAGCAAATTTCAGTCCCTCCTTCCCCCTTCCGAGCGACCCTGGGCCTGAGGGAGCCCCCCTTTCCTTCCTCCCCTGCCTCACATCTGAGCCCAAACCCCTTTGTCAGCCCTGAACAGGGAGTGAGAATTGTGCTGATGAAGGCCTCTCTCAGCCCAGTCTCCACCTGCCTTTGCCCCTCACAGAGCCAGCAGCAGAGTCAAGGGCAGCCTCAGAGGGAGGCTCCAGGTACGGCTTCTGCCCAAAGGGAAGAAGTGGGCTCTGAGGCAGGTGTAGTCCACAGGAGCCCCAAGAGCACAGCCCCTCTCCCTCCGTCCCACCCTGCAGTTCCTCAAAGCCCATTGCGCCCTCTACCTCAGTTTACAAACATCACCTCCACCAGTGCTACTCACACACAGGCCGGACGATTTCGTTGACAACATTCCAAGAACCCAGGTGTGTCCCTGATCCTGGCCCCCTCACCTGGGCCCAGGTTGAGTCCTGATCCCACCCTGAGCCCTGAGCGCGATTCCAAACTGAGCCCTGGCCTGGGGTAGATCGTGTCCTTCCTGGGTGCAACCAGAAGGATGGCCCTCTCAAGAGAGGGAGGATCCTGGTTGTCACAGCACAGGGCTCCTCAGTGGGAATCTTCCCCCTCCTCCAGGAGCTAGCCCTGCCCTGGGGCTAAGGAGCTGAGCCTCCCTGCCCATGTTCCCAGGCCTGAGATCCCCAGGCCCCAGTTGTCCTCCCCCTGGATCTGACGGTCTGGGCAGGAGATGGGCAGGCCACATGCAGAGAACAGAAGGAAACTCACCTGGACAAGATGGAGGCCTGGGCCAGGTCCCTGGCCCCACCCAACACCTGATCCAGCTGACCCTGGGACATCATCCTCCTTGTGAAGGACCACAAGGACCTTGCTTGGAGTGGGCCTCCCTGTCCTCCACAGCATCCTGGTGTCCCATTTAATCCTGTCCCTGTCTCCCCTCCAGCATCCCAGGAACAAGCCTCCCCATGTCACAGAGGGAGAGCCAGGCCCAGAGAAAGGAAGTAATGGACCCAATGTCACACAGCCAGACACAGACAAGAACTCAAAGCTCCTAAACCCAACCCAGGCCTGACCCTGGCTTCTTTGCCCACCAGGGTGACCTCAGGAGACACGGAGGTGGGGGTAGGGTGGCTGGGAGGCCGAAGGGAGCCCTGGCCTTCCTGGGCCAGACCAGAAGGAGTGCCCTTTGCCATGTCCCTAGCCCCTACCTGTTGGCTAGAAGTCTGGTGGCCATGAATCCACGTGGCTTCCCTGCCCCACGGGAACATCTGGCTTCTCCCTGCCCAGCCAGGGGGAGCTCTGAGTCCTTGCTGCTGTGATCCTAGGGCCCACCTCGAACCGGCTTCTCTCCTGACACCCACACCTGTCTTGGGCAGAGGGTGTAACAGAGAAGGCCCTCCCTCCTGCCTCCCCGGCCCCACAGCCACCTCTATGGAGAGTCCCCAGAGCACCGTTCAATCCTTCCCCAGCTGGTTGGGAGCCCAGGAGGCGGTGGGAACCCGTGTGCACTTCACCCTCTGCTCCTGGAAGAACAGGCAGGATGAATGCTCAGATTCTTGATCCTAAGCCCTCCCTGGGGTCTCAGCTTGCCTCCTTCTCCTGGCAGCTGAGCCAGGGCAAGTACACAAGAGTATTGACCCCACCAGCCCAGCAGAGCTGAACCGGTGGCCCTCCCCCATTGAACAGGTGCGGGGACTGAGGTCCAGCCTAGGGGAGGATCTGACTCCCCTTGGGCTATGCACCTGCACCCACCCGATCACCTCCACACCCCTCACCTGGATTCCGAGGGATCTGCGGGTAGGGTGGGCCACGCCCGCAGGGTCTCCTCCTCGGGCGGCTGCGTCTGGGGAGCGGGAGCCTTAGGGGCGCACGCAGGATGCTCCTGGGCCGCCGCCGACAGCAGCCGCCGCGTCTTCTCTGCGCCGGCGGCAGAGGGCTCTGTGCGCTACGCCCTGGGCCCGGCTTTTAGCAGCGGGTGTGGACGCGGGCACTGCTCCGCCCCCGCCCGTTCGGGGTGTCCTTTGCCCCTTGTTCCGGTGCCTCCTTCTCTCCTTAGCACGTGGGTGGCAGCCGCTCACCCGTCTGGCGGCCTGTGGCACAGCCATGGGGCCTGGGCCACGGGCCCAGGCGCCTGCCAATCCCCGTCTGGGACCTACTCGTGCCCGCTCACCTTTAACCCCTCTCTCCCAGAGGGCTTGGTGCCAGGCTCCCAAACCGCTGGCTGGGTTTGAGAAGGAGGAGCCACAGGTATGGGACCATGGCCCAGGTGGACAGAGGCAGAGCCTGGGACGCTGCAGTCACCTCCCTGAGCCCCAGCCCCTCTGGGAACCTCATCCTGGCTCCTGAATTCCCTGTCTCTGTTGAGCTCCCATCTGGCTCACCGAACCCCCTTCATTCCCGCCCCTGGTTCTACCGGCGTTATCCTGAGTCCACTGGGCTTCTAAGCCCACTGACCCACTTCCTCACCTGGACCTCACCGAGCCCCCCCACCCCCCCCCCCCTCCCTGGGCTCTCTTCTCCTCCCTGAGCAGCCCGCCCCCTACTCTCTCTCTCTCTCTCTCTCTCTCTCTCTCTCACACACACACACACACACACACACACACACCCCTCCACCCTCACGGAGCCCTTGGCCCTTCCAGAACGCCTATCCCCTCCTGACCTCTCTCTCCTCCCTGGGCCTGTTTCCTCCTGTGTAAGATAGGAAGCAGGGCAAGGGGATGGCGATGGTCTTGGGCCTTCACATCAGAGAAAGGTAGAAGAAAGAAGTTCCTTGAAGGAATCCAATCCTGGAAGGCTTCCTGAAGGAGGAAGATGTTCATGGTTACTTTGAAGCTAAGAAAGAAAGGAGATGATTTCGACAGCTTCTGTTGAGGGGCTACTCTCCTTTAATGGAAGCTGGGGAGGCATGGGCGGGTGGGGGGGCCTCCTTATTTAAGAAAGTCTCCTGAAGATCAACAGAAAGTATCTCCCTCTTCATATGAAAATTCTCTAGAACGAGGGCAGGGTTTCATTTCAACTCAACAAATCATTACCATTTCTGGCTAATGTTCGCCCAGCCTTGACTACTTACCAGGGTCCCGCCTACACCTCTTAAGCCCTTTATGTGGGTTAACTCATTGAATCCCTTCAATGGCCAGAAGGGGTGGGTGTCTTCTCCCGGTTTTACAGATGAGGGAACAGAGATGCAGGGAGGTTCAGATCGGTGGTAGGTGGCAGAACTGGAGTCTGAGCCCAGGTGCCCCGACTCTGCACCTGCTGTGTAATAAATAGATCCTTTGCTGGAAAGAGGACATAAATGTTGTTCCTGCTCTCAGGGGACCCCTAAGGCTAACAGGTGGGGGATAGATGGGTCTTTAATAACAGGTCAAGTTGGCATGAGGAAGGAATGCTGGGAAGGAAAGGCTGATTCCGCCTTTGGAGGAGGGGGTGTGTTCTAGGTCAAGAAGGACGGGTCAGTTCTTCTACAGCTTTAGGAGAAGGCGTGTGGTAGGGGGGGGAAAGGCATCCACGGTGGAGGGACACCTTGGCCAAAGGCAGGAGAGATGTGGAAATGCAGCATAAGGTTGGGGAATTGTCAGGCATCTGGCTCGACTGGAAAAGGGTCTCTGGGTCGAGTACGAGATTGGGGAAAAGAAAGAGGGAGAGAATCATGGAGGAACACAGATGTCACACAAAGAAATGAAGACCAGCTGAGAGAGAGTAGGGAGCCATGGAAGGATGGTGAGCAAAGGCAGAAGGTGGGGGGGGGGGGGCTTTACTGGGGTTGCAGCTAGAAGGAAGCACTGGGAGGGGGAGGAGACTGGAGGCTTCGTGGGGGTGGGTGCCTTAGCCCAGGGGTGGCAGGCCTGCCTGAGCTGGGCCCGAACATGTGACCGACCAGGGGAGGTGGATGGCGGACTCACCAGACTGAAGGGACAGGTTGTCACCGTGATTTCTGCGTGTGCTTCTCCAGAGGGCTTGGGCTCTCCTTCAACTCTGGATCCAGCCCCCGAGCAGGACCTGAAACAAAAGAGCATGTTTGTAAGTGTCGTCAGAATTGCACCAAGAAGATCTGGGAACAGCTGGAAGATTTCCTGGTTTGAGCCTCGCTGGCCGGCAGGATGCCGACCCCCTAAACCAAATAAGGGGGTGCGGTGGAGACTGACCGGGCAGAATGGGAAGATACTGCTTTGAAAGGTCGCCAGGGGGTGACGTCCACTAGGCTGTTGTCTTCAGGATGGCACGTCATGTCTGCGCCTCCCACGAGGCAGATGGGGATCTCTGAGGGCACTGCCTGTTTCTTCAGCCTGTATTGCTGCCTCCTGTGGGCCTTATCCTGAGCCGGTGGGAGCATCATCAAAATGCAGGAGGGCGTCCTGTGCAGCCCTAAGAAGAGCTGGCTGAAGTCAGAGCCTTCACTTTCTTTCTTTTCTTTCTTTTAATGTTCATCTATTTATTTAAAAAAAGTTTAATGTTTACCTTTTGAGAGAGAGGGAGAGACAGAGCGTGAGCAGGGGAGGGGCAGAGAGAGAGGGAGACACAGACTCCAAAGCAGGCTCCAGGCTCTGAGCTGTCAGCACAGAGCCTGACGTGGGGCTCCAACTCACAGACCGCAAGATCATGACCTGAGCCGAAGTTGGACACTCAGCCAACCGAGCCACCCAGGCGCCCCAGAGCCTTCATGTTCAAAATGCCTACAAATAGTATATTGTCTAGATGCACGTGTGTATACAAAAAGTATTTTTTAGCAGAGCGAAGGGACTACCGCTTGTTAGAATGGGTAAAGTGGAAAAGGCTGAGCTTATAAAGCGTTGGTAAGGATGTGGATCAAGTAAGCCTCACACACTGCTGGTGGGGATGATGAAACCGTTTGGAAGACTGGGGTTTTCTTAAAATGTTAAATGGGTGCCACCTATCTGACCCGGCCACATCACTCCTAGGTATTTAGATAAGAGAAATAAAGGAATAGGTCCATACACAGACTTGTACACAAATGTTCATAGCAGCTTTGCTTGTAAAAGTCTCACACTGGAAACAGCCCACATGTCCATCAACAGATGGATAAACAAATTATGATATATCCACATGGTGAAATACCATCCTGCAATAAGAAGGAACAAACTGCAACAGATAAATGCAACAGAGTGGATGAATATCAAAATAGCTATTATGAGTGAGAGAAGCCACACACCAAAAAAAAAAAAAAAAAAAAAAAAAAAGCATACACCGTACGATGCCATTTATATAAAATTCTGGAAAATGGGGACTAATCAGTAGTGTCAGGGATCTGGTCAGTAACCAGATCAGGGGTTATCTGGCTGAGGGGTAGGGGAGAGGCTGGAGGGAGAAATCACAGAAGAGCATAAATGATTTTTTAGGGGGGTTGGATGTGTTCATTGCCGTGATTTTTTTTAAGTTTATTTTTGAGAGAGAGAGACCACAAACGGAGGAGAGGGGTAGAGAGAAAGAGAAAGAGAATCTCAAGCAGGGTCCATGTTCAGCGCAGAGCCTGACTCAAGGCTCAATCCCACGGCCATGGGATCATGACCTGAGCTGAAATCAAGAGTTGGACGCTCAATCGACTGAGCCACCCAGGCGCCCCCATTGCTTTGATTTTGAGGGTAGTTTCACAAGCCAAAACTCATCAAATTGTACACTTTAAAATACGTGCAGCTTGGGGTGCCTGGGTGGCTGGGTTGGTTAAGCGTCCAACTTTGGCTCAGGTCATGATCTTGCATTTCTGGAGTTCAAGCCCTGCATTGGGCTCCTCTCTGACAGTGTGGAGCCTGCTTGGGCTTCTCTCTCTCCCTCTCTCTGCTCTTCCCTCGCTTGCACTCTCTCTCTCTCTCTCTCTCTCTGATAAATAAACTTTAAAAACATATATGCAGCTTATTTTGCAGAAGTTACACCTCAGTAAAGTTTTTTTTTTTTTCATGTTTATTTATTTTTGAGAGAGAGACAGAATGTGAGCAGGGGAGGGGCAGAGAGAGAGGCAGACACAGAATCTGAAACAGGCTCCAGGCTCTGAGCTGTCAGCCCAGAGCCCGACGCGGGGCTCGAACTCACGGACCGCGAGATCGCGAGATCCCGCGAGATCACGAGATCGTGACCTGAGCCGAAGTCGGACGCCCAACCGATTGAGCCACCCAGGCGCCCCATATATAAAGAACTCTTACAACTGCAAAATAAAAAGGCAAATACCCAAGTAAAAAATTAGCGAAGGGTCTGAAGAGACATTTCTCTAATGAAGACATAAAAGTGACCAATAGTGGGGCGCCTGGCTGGTTTAGTCAGAAGAGCACAATGACCCTTGAACTCAGGGTTGTGAGTTTAAATCCCATGTTGGGGGTAGAAATTTCTTAAATAAAGAAATAAGATTTTTTATTTTATTTTATTAACATTTTTTTTAATGTTCATTTTTGAGAGAGAGCGAGAGGAGGAGGGGCAGAGAGAGAGAGAGAGGGAGATACAAATCCAAAGCAGGCTCTAGGCTCTGAGCTGTCAGCACAGAGCTGGACACGGGGCTCGAACCCACGAACATGAGATCACCATCTGAGCCGAAGTCAGACGCTTCACCGACTGAGCCACCCAGGCGCCCCAAGAAATAAACTTTTTTAAAAAATGACCAACAGTACATGAAAAGATGCTCAACATTATTAGCCATCAGAGAAATGCAAATCAAAATCGTGAGATTCCACTTTACATCCACTAGGATATTTATGTACGTATGTATGTATGTACGTATGTATTTATTTATAAGTAGGCTTCATGCCCAGCGCAGAGCCCCACACGGGGCCTGAACTCAGGACTCTGAGATCAAGACCTGAGTTGAGACCAAGAGTTGGAGGCTGAACCCACTGAGCCACCCAGACGCCCCAGAAGAGTTGTGACAAGAAAGATGGATAATAACAGTATCGGTGAAAACATCAGACCCTGCCTACATGGCTAGTGCAAGTGTAGGGAGGTGCAGCTGCTTTGGGAAATGGTCTGGCCTTCCCTCAGAAAGGTTAGACATGAAGTTATCATGTACCCACTCATTGGTACATAACCCAGAGGAAAAAAAAACCCAGGTCACAAAAACACTTGTGCGAATGTTCGTAGCAGCATCGTTCATAAGAGCCCAAAAGTGAAAATGACCCCAATGTTCATCGACTGATGAATGGAGAAACAAGTTGCACACCACATGTACAGTGGAATATTATTCAGCCTTAAAAAGGATGAAAATCCTGTCACGTGCTACAACATGGATGCATCTTGGAGAGATTCCGCTCGGTGAAATCAACTAGTCACGAAAGGACAAATACTGTCTGATTCCACTTGTACGAGGTTCCGAGAGTAGTCAGATTCATGGAGACAGAAAGTAGAACAGTAGGGTAGGTATCAGGATCCGACCTAAGGGGGAAATAGTATTCAATGGATATACAGTTTCAGTTTGGGAAGATCAACACGTTCTGGAGATGGATGGTTGTGATGGTCCCTGAGCAGTGTGAATGTGTTTAATGTCACAAAGTGTGTACCTAAAAATGATGAAGATGGGGGGGTGCCCTGGATGGCTCATTCGGTTGAGCGTAGGACTTCAGCTCAGCTCATGACCTCATGATCTCATGGTCCATGGGTTCGAGCCCCACATCGGGCTCGCTGTTGTCAGCACAGAGCCCGCTTAGGATCCTCTGTCCTCTCCGTCTCTGCCCTTCCCCCGCTTGTGCTCTCTGTCTCAAAAATAAAAAAAGAAAACATTAAAAAGAAAAAAAGAAAACATTATGTGAAATGAAAGAAGTCAGACACAAAATACCACATCTTATAGGATTCCATTAGTATGAAATGTCCGGAATTGGCAAATCTATAGAATAAGTAGATTAGTGATTGCCTCATGCTGGGGCTGGTGGTGAGGCCAGGATTGGGGCAGGAATGGGGAGTGACTGCTAATGGGTACAAAGTTTCTTTTTGCGGTGTTGGAAATGTTCTAAAATTGTACCGAAGGTTGTACAACCCTGAATGTACCCCAAAGCACTGAATTGTAGAATTTAAATTGTTGAATTATACTGCATATGAATTATATCTCAATAGAGCTGTTTTTTTTTTAAGGGGTAGCGATTGGATTTTTGCAGAATAATGAATTTATTTTTTTTAATGTTTACTTAAGAGAGAGAGAGCTTTCTTTACTACTTTTCTACTTTAAGAGAAAGTAGAGAGGGGGGGGACAGAGGATCTAAAGCAGGCTCTGTCCTGACAGCAGAGAGCCTGATACGCGGCTTGAACTCATGAACCATGAGACTGTGACCTGAGCCGAAGTTGGACGCTTAACCAACAGAGCCCCCCAGGCGCGCCTGGAGAATAATGAATTTAAAAATTGAACCAGGGAGAAGATGAAGGGTCCCCTTTGTAGGGTCAGCCCCTGGACGTCCCGGGCAGATAGTAGGTGCTCCATAAATTAAAACCAAGGGAGCATTTCCAGAAAGAGAAACACATCGCGGCTGCTGTTTTTGGAGCACTGACCGGATGTCAGGCTTCATGCGAGACACTTACATCAAGTCACACCCTTCAACTACCCATTTTACAGATACTATAATTGAGGCTCAAGGAATTAAGGAATTTACTCTTGGTCACACAGGAAGTAGCAGAACTCAGAAAGGGATCCCGGTCGGTCTGACTCCAAAGGTAAAGTCTAAAAATAGACCTTAAAAATTACTAATTTTATATCAAAGTTTTCAGACTTACTAAAAACATAAAGAATAATACTGTGCATACCTGTGTACCACGACCAGCTTAAGAAATCAAACGATCAGGGTGCCTGGGTGGCTCAGTCGGTTAAGCGTCCAACTTCCGCTCAGGTCATGATCTCACCGTTTGTGGGTTCGAGCCCCGCATCAGGCTCTCTGCTGTCAGCACAGAAGCCCACTTCAGGTCCTCTGCTCCACTCTCTCTGCCCCTCCCCTCCTTGTTCTCTCTCTCACTTTCAATTAAAAAAGAAAGAAAGAAAAAGGAAGAAAGAAAGAAAGAAAGAAAGAAAGAAAGAAAGAAAGAAAGAAAGAGAAAGAAAGAAAGAAAGAAAGAAAGAAAGAAAGAAAGAAAGAAAGAAATCGAACTATCAATGCCATTGAACTTCCCTTGGTCCCTCCCTGACTGCAACCTTTTTCTGCCAGACAGCCATGCTCCAGAATTTGGTATTTATTGTTCCCATGCTTTTCCTTTGTACATATCTCCAAGCATTATGAAGTTTAATTCTGTTTCTTTTCTTTAAATTTTTTAAAATGTTTGTTCATTGTTGAGAGACAGAGAGTGAGTGGGGGAGGGGCAGACACACATACACACACACACACACACACACACACACACACACAGAATCCAAAGCAGGCTCCAGGCTCCGAGCTGTCGGCACAGAGCCCGACACGGGGCTCGAGCCCA